TAAGCAAATGTGGTTCTCCCAGTCTTGTCTTGCATTCTATTTCAACAAGTGTCACCTAGTTCATAGTCATGGATAATTTCCTGGATCTGTCTGAAATCACAACCCATAGAATATCCACAGGCCATCAGTTTGTGGTGCTTCTGATTCTTGCCCAAACCAGTTTGCTGGGCTGCAGGTAGCAGGTAGGGAAAAAATATGGGAAAAGCTCAAACAGAGATCATAGCAAATGACTCATAAAAGACTAAAATATTACAGAAAACTGGTGAATTCATGGATAATTACAAAGTAGAAAATAACAGAAGGTCTTACGTATTCATCACAGATTATCTCAATAAAATAATGCCTCTGGAGGATATGAGACCATAACTAACCATTGTTTAAAAAAGCATTTGTGTGTGTATGTGTGTACTAGTACAAGGGTTTGAACCTCAGGGTCTAGTGCCATCCCTTAGCTTTTCTACTCAAGGCTGGTGCTCTACCACTTGAGACACAGCTCCACTTCTGACTTTGTGCTGGTTCATTAGAGTAAAAGAATCCCACAGACTTTTCTGCACAGGCTGGTTTCAAACCACAATCCTCAGATCTCAGTCTCTTCAGTAGCTAGAATTACAGACATGAGCCACTGGTATGCAGGCCTTTAAAAAAGCATTATTTACGATACACTCTAAGGAAGTATGAAAACCATTCATAGACTTGACCAATTGCAAATTCAGGAAAGGAAAAGCACAGGATAAAAGGTGGGACATGCAGTTGGCAGCTATTCTTCCTAAGCGAGGTGGGAAGTATACAGGTGACAATTATATTTCTATTTTTAAATAAAGTATTTCAGGGACACCGTATAGTAAGAAAAGGAAGTCAGAGCCAAAGACCAGTTCTTTGCAAACAGGGGGGCATATGTTCTGACCTCTAAGTCCTGTAGTGTGCTTTTATGGTTTAGTCAGGTCTCACTTTGGATCCAGTTTTAGAAACAAAAACTTCCTTTTCAAAATAATTCACAATGGATGACCTATTTCTACAAGGTCCCATCTAGATGAAGCAAAGCATTCTAAAACAAGACAAAAACATTACCAAAGAAAATGTTATTGGGTCCATACTGGGTTCCAGTGTTACAGTGCTGGGGATCAGTTTGAGGCACACATATTGTGGTGTTTACAAATAGATAAGAGAATTTGAAGAGACTTCCCTGGTTTAGTTACTAAAGTCTTTAAGGATTAAAAGGGAAAACACAGCACTTCTACCATCAAAATCATCCAGAACTGCCTTTTCCTACTATCCCCCTCGGCAGAGGCCATTTGTCACAGTGGAGAGTTCAGCATACACTGGCAATGAGGGGAAACATATCCATGCATAAATTAGAATGTGAAATTGGAGGTTGCAGATTGCATAACTAGGTGAATTCAATATTGATAAAGGTTCCATATTGTCTTTGTGAAACATATGGAATAAATATCAAATAACTTAAAGAACAGTTGGTTTTTTTCATTAGAATCAGAAGGGACACTCAGAAAGTTTATCTGCAAAGGGAATAAAAATGGCAAATCTAAAGCCCTTCAAGATTTGTAATTACATTAAAACAAAAAGTCTTAATAAGGTTGGGCATGGAGGTTCATACCTAGAATCCTAGCTACTCAGGAGATTTAGAGGTTCATGGCTCAAGACCAGTGCTTAGAAAGATTTTATTCTCAACACAGCAGCTAGGTGTGGTAGAATGCACTTGTCATCACCTATGTGAGGAACACAAATAGGAAGACTAGGGTCCAGGTCAGCCTAAGGATAAATGTGACACAGACACTATTTGAAAATAAAAAACAAACAAAAACGGCTGGAGATGTAGCTTAAGCAATAGAAAATCGGCCTATCAAGGCCCCTTAGTTCAAATTCCAGTACTTTCAAGAGAGAGAAGGGGAGGGAGGGAGAGAGCTGAGCAGGAGGGGGTTGAGGAGGAAGAGAGAGAGGGAAGGAGGAAGGAGGAAAGAAATAAGGGAGGAAGGGGAAGGAAGGGGAAGGAGAAGAAGGAGAAGGGAGGGAAGGATGGGAAAGAAGGGAAGGAAGGAAGGAAGGAAGGAAGGAAGGAAGGAAGGCAGGCAGGCAGGCAGGCAGGCAGGCAGGCAGGCAGATCTGGTCAAAGATGACTCAGACGTATAATCTTAACTACTCGGAAGACAGATGGTTAGGAGCCAACCTTGACAGATAAATCTGGGAGATGATTACCTACAAATAACAAGCAAAAAATAAAAGTGGAGGCATGAATCAAGTGGTAGAACATCAGCCATAAGCAAAGAGCTGAACTCTGAGTTCAAGGCTCCAATACTGTAATCCCAGCTACTCAAGAAGCAAAGACAAAAGAATTCCAAGTTTGTACCTAGTGCAAAGTTAGTGACCTTATCTCACAAACAAAATAATAATGGGAGTTTTGGGTGTGACTCAAGTAGTAAAGCACTTTTAAAGAAGCCCTGGCTTCAATTCCCAGAATTGAACAAAAAAATCTTAGCTAGGTGCTGGTGGCTCAAACCTGTAATCCTAGCTACTCAGGAGGCTGAGATCTGAGGATCACCAACCTGGGCAGGAAAGTCTGTGAGACTCTTTTGTATCTCTAATTAACCACCAGAAAACCAAAAGTGACACTGTGGTTCAAAGTGGTAGAGCACTAGCCTTGGGTAAAACCCCTCAGGGACAGAGCCTAGGCCCTGAGTTCAAGCTCCATGACTGACAAAACAAAACCTAAAGTATGGCAAGAACTAGCACAACCATGTTCACTGCAACATTATTTACCATGGCTAAGATATGGAACCAACCCAGATGCCTCTCAGTAGATGAACAGATCAAGAAAATGTGGTATGTATACACAATGGAATTCTATGTTTCCATCAGAAAGAATGGCATCGCCCCATTCATAAGGAAAGGAAAGACCTGGAAAAATCATATTAAGTGAAGTAAGCCAGTCTCAGAGAAACATAGGCTCCATGGTTTCCCTCAATTGTTATGATTAGTGTATGTCTAGGATAGTCCTAGCAGAAGATTACAATAGCTCAATAACTATGTGCATAAGACCATGTAAAATGATGCTGATCGAAATGAACTCCAAGATATGGAAACAAGAGGTTTGTTGTTGTTATTGTTGTTTTAATGAACTGTGTGAAGTTATTTCTTTTTATCTTTAGGGAGTTTTTTCCCTTTTGGTTTATCCTCTGTTGTCACTGGCTTTTGTTTTGTTTTGTTTTGGGGGGTTTTTTTGGTGCCTTGTGTCATACATGATTATCTGATTTGGGGAAGGGAAGAGGAATAACAAAATGGTGAGACAATGGATAAAAGGTGAACCAATGCAACAACAGCAATACTCACAAGACACTATGTTGGAAATGAACTTTACAACTTTGGGGGGAGGGGAGTTGCAGGGAGGGAAAATGGAGAAAACAAGGGAGGAGGTAACAATGTTCAACAAGAAGTGTACTCATTACCTTATCTAAGTAACTGTAACCCCTCTGTACATCACTTCTACAATAAAATCAAATTAAATTTTAAAAAAACCTAAAGTATGGAAAACATAAGTATATTTTTCTATTTTAAATATGATTCGTTCTTGGAGCAAATGTAAAACTTAAGAGCAAATTTCATCTACTCTTTTTTTCCCCCCAAACCCACCTGTCTATTAATGTTTTATGTAAACATAATCTATATATCTATAACCATGTATTTTCTTTCTTTTTGCCTCCATGGAGTGCTCTGGCCTGAGCCCTGGGCTCAAGACTTCTATTCCAGGGCTACTAATTTTGAGATTAGCAAGAGCACAAATCCAAAGTTTCTGTTCCATTCTCAATGCATACTACCCTTAAGACCAAATCTATTCTTGTTTTTCCTTCCAATCTTTGAAGTAAAATCAAACCAATTATTTTGTCTTGTTTTCAATTTTTACCATCTTGTATCCTACATAATTGCTGTTTAAAAGTTCCATGTATAAATAAGTAATGAAGTAAACTGTAGAATCATGGGCACTATGTGTTAGTCAATATTGATTGTCAATGTCATTAAGATTAAGAAGGGCCTCAGGAGATCAGTATCACACACCTCTGGGTGTGTCTGCAAGTAGACGTGTCTATGAGGGCATTTTCAGAGACAAATAACTAAACAGGAAGATCCTGCCGGACATGAGTGTCCCATAGGTTGGGGGGCAGGATGGAATACAAGGGAAGGAAAGGGAAAGCCAGCTGGCTCAGATATTTATTCTCTCCGTCTGTCTCTTCTCTGTGATATAAGGTGCCCTTCCTGCCACGATGAACTGAAATCATGAAACAAAGTAATCTTTCCTACCTTGTTTTACTGAGGTATTTGGTCATAGGGACAAACAGCTGAATATATTAAGCTACAGCAAAGCTTAAGTCCTACCACTTTGGAATCTGCTTCTTCTACATCCTAAAGCATCTGCTAAGATTTAAATATCATGTTTAATGAATGCCTAATTCCAAACTGAATGTAGTACCTTCAATCCAAACTAGCCTTTACAAATGAGCAACAATGAAATGTACCATACCTAAGAGATACTTGAGCATATTTAGGCCTCCATATACGATCTTACTTACTGACTGGGATTGTGGAGGGAAGCTTTTTGCATTTTGCTCACATCCCTTTACCAATTTGTCAATCTATGGAGAGTTTTATGGAACATAAAGAGAGAGAATGGAAAAAGCCATTGATCTAACATGAAAATCTCTGCATGCCTCAGAACATTTAATATGAACATCATGCCAAAGTTATAAAACAGAGTGATTGAAACACTCTCAACTCAAATTCCAACACTGTGTTTGCCAGGCTAACTAATAAATAAGTCTGAGACATGATTATAAGTCAAATTGTTTATTCTTTAAAAATGCTAGTCTATAATACAATCTACTAAAGTCTAAGAGAATTGAATTTACATTGTTTAAAAAAATCATCTGTATGGATATTCATTGACCCAGCCTGCCACCTGAAAAAATTAAGAGCAAATCTGCTGACGTGATGGCTGGGTTTTGGAAGTGCTTCAGCACTGACACTTGTCACAGAGGAAGAACTGCAGGTGGTTCCATGAGAGACACATGCAGATACCTGAAATGAGACCCACAACAAGGTCAGCCCATGCAAAGGATAGCAGGGTTTTTTTTTGTTTTGTTTTTTTTGGTTGGTCCTGGGCCTGAACTCTGGGCCTGGGTGCTGTCCCTCAGCTCTTCAGCTCAAGGCTAGCACTCTACCACTTGAGCCACAGCACCACTTCTGGCTTTTTCTGCTTATGTAGTGCTGAGGAATTGAACCCAGGGCCTCATGCATGCAAGGCAAGCATGAGCCACCTTCCTAGCCCAGGATAGCAGTTTTATACAATCTCCATTAGGCTACAAAAAATGCTATTGTAGTTTGGGCAGACTGAAAAAAATCCAGCTTTCTGTAAGTACTAAAATTATAAAATTATAAAAGCTACAAATCCAGGGCTCTCCAAATTAATTTTCATGATTTACTTTTACGCTTAGCTCCAATTAACCACCCCCAAAAGCCAGATAGACAATTTATTCTATTTCTATTGCTGATACTACAATAACCTCATTAAGTTTTAAAGAACCGAGATAAGAAAACTTACTTTGAAGCTTTATACTTCTCCCTAATTGCTTGCTGAGGTCGATGGGGTATATCAAGGCATGCTTTGTGTAGCTCACTCAGGCAAGGCACAATTTCACTTAATGAATAGCCTGTAAATGCAGCAAGGGTTTCTGGCTAATCAAGACAAAAGAAAAAAATGCCTCACATAACCTCATATGATATTAGAAATCTGAAACATTGAACTGTGAAGTAAAGTGAATTAATTGCTTATTAAATATCCATACATAGCTCAGAAGAATTAGAGATTTCAGATATAAAATAGTAACAAGAATAACCAGTATTCTAGATTTCTAAGTTTCTCCAATTTCTCATAATGTATATTTATAATTCTTAAAATTGGGGCAGATTACTTTCCTTGTTGCCATATGAGTAAGACTATTGTTTCTTAAAAAGCTCTGCTTTCCTAAGCATCCAATTTGCATAGAATATAAAAGATTAAAAGATTATTAGTCAAAATACAATTTAAGAAGAAGTATTATCCAAGCACTGTTGGTTCACATCTATAATCCTAACTATTCATGAGGCTGAGATCTGAGGATTCAAGTTTGAAGCCAGCCCAGGCAGGAAAGTTTGTGAGATTCTTATCCCCAGTTAACCACCAAAAGCCAGAAGGGGACCTGTGGCTCAAGTGGAAGAACACTTGAGTGAATAAGCTAACCTGAGTTCAAACCCTAATACCGCCCCCCCCGCCACATACACACACACACACACACACACACACACGCACACACACACACGAAGAATTCTAGAAAATAAAAGTTGACCCTTCACTTTTTTAAACATGAAAATGAGTGTTCTGAACAAAATGTGGAAGACCATTTCTGATCTTGTCACCTTCTGTAGCAACTGCCCTGTTCTTTTGAGGAGTCAAACCGTTGGCTGCCCTTACCAAACTTACGGTTTGTTATATTATGCTGTTATTTTCGCAAGAGTAAAGGACAAGAGTTTTTACTTGAAGTGATGATGACTGCAAACTTGGAGGCCCTCCACACAGAGCAGTAGACACTGAGGTTCCCAGGCCTGCTTTTGTGGAATGAGCCCACCACAGTCTCCTTTACTTTCCACCAAATCTGTTCCCCTCAGCGGAAGACCATTGAGTCCAAGTCTTGGCGGATGATCTGCAGGACTCAGTATCAAGTTGTCATCTGCTGTAAACCAATTCCTTATAACACTAATTTTTCCTCGAAAGAAGCAAGACCTTGGGGCTGGGAAGGTGGCTCAGTGGTAGAGAGCTTGCCTTGCATGCCTGAGGCCCTGGGTTCGATTCCTTAGCACCACATAAGCAAAAAGAAAAAATCCAGAAGTGGCACTGTGGCTCAAGTGGTAGAGCGCTAGCCTTGAGCTGAAGAGCTGAGGAATAGCGCCCAGGCCCAGAGTTCAGGCCCCATGGCCGGACTCCTCCCCTCCCTCCCCCCCCCCCAAAAAGAAGCAAGACCTTCCAAAACTTGAAAGTTATTGAACAGATATAACACTGACCTTGAATTTCACCTAGAAAGAAGAGGAAAGGATCTCACCCAGAAGTGCCTGTTCACAGTGTAGTTTGCCAGGCAATAAGCTGCTGCCGCTATAACTGAAGGAAGATATTTCAAGAAAGGATCAGCTTCAAGTAAACTCAGTTCTGCTACATACTAAGAGAGAAAAAACAAACAAACAAACGTGAGTTAGGAATTTGACCAAGAATAAGAATATTGATAAAAATACTGCGCATCTGGTTATAAGCATAGGAATAGTCAAAATAATTCACTAGATTAACAATTTGTATGACTTCCCTTAACCTAAACAACATTTATACTAATATAAAATGTAAATGTCCTCATATTTGTCCTATTCACTGCATATGAGATAGGTTATTTCCCTCATTTTATGCTAGTAGTGGCATCTGCTGATCAGATATAGTAGTATCATTCTAGCACAATAAGAGCATAGCTTCTAGCCATAAAGAAAAAAATCCATATTAAATCTATTCAGTCATCAGTCACATGAATATGGTTCCCAGGCTAGAATAATACCAGTGGGAACATATTATAAAAAATACATTGGGAAATGTATATAGACATCCTGATTATTCTTTTGCACATGGATAGATGGATAGACAGATGTATAGATATAGATATCATATATCCTAAATTGTAGTGGTTGGTAAGCAAGTTGACCAAACTCATACTTTTATGTTTTAATCAAACTTCACTAACTCCATATGACCAAATGATGCTTTATTTCTTGAAAGATCAGAATGAGTTTTAAACCAAGTAGGAGTATGGTTCAAGTGCTTGGCAGACATGCTACCATTAGCCTAGCAAGCATGAGGCCCTAAGTTAAAACCCCAATACTATCCACAAAAAAAAGAAAAAAACAAACTTCTACATTTAATTTTTCCCAATTAAGAATTAATTCTTACACGTGGTCTGTATCTATCAAGGAAAGAGTTTCCAAGCTTGAATTTCTTTTTTTTTTTTTTAAATCATGGACGCCTAAATAATGTGTGGCTGCTGAATTTTACTATTTTACCACAATAGTAATGTTTTATAATTAGATGCTTTGTTCTTAAAATTAGCTCTACTTCATTACCAAGAATGTTTCCTAGACATAAGATAAAAAAACTAGAAAAGAAGAACTAAACTTGACACTGGAAATTTTTGGAAGTCATGTGGCCTACCTTGGCCAGATTCTCAGTTCGGATACATACTCCTTGCCGCCGTAAATACTGAAGGAGAAACTGGTTGGTGGTTGGTACTGTCAAATCAAATGCCAGAACCTTCAGGAGCAGGTGTTCCATCCTTAACAGTTGTCGTTTTGTGTATGTATCATCAGTTATATAGACAAACTCATCCACTTCAGGTGGATATATCTCTTCATATTTCCTGGGAAAGATAAGGAATTGTCGTTTTGTGTATGTATCATCAGTTATATAGACAAACTCATCCACTTCAGGTGGATATATCTCTTCATTTTTCCTGGGAAAGATAAGGAATTGGGAGGGGAGCAAGTTTGGAACTCATGGCTCTACTTCCTCGTCTCTCAACATGGCCTTGCCGACTACTTTATATATCACTGTGCCTACTTAAGCTCAGAACAGCACAGGGATATGAAAATGTTAGGAGCTTATTTCTAGACCAAGAACATGAGTGTTACAGATATGCTGTACTTCTTCTTAAGAGTAATGTCAAAAAACATTTCCAAATGAGAATTGTAGGTCTTAAGTCTCTGATAGACTTAAAAAATTATCAATGATAGACATGATAGATTGAAAAATTATCAATGATAGATTTGACATATGAATTCTTACTAATCCTATGGTCTCCAAATCATTTTGTGGAAAAGAATATGGTAATGAACTTATAGCAGGAAAATTTACATAGGCCTTTGATTATTAAGAAGATCTCCAACTTTATTGAATTAGCAAGTGATGTTAAATAGCCAAGAGAAAGATGATATAATTTTACTATTATCACTTCTTCCCTTCTGCTTTTGTTTCTGCTTTCTTTGAGGAAATATTAAAAAGTTCTCACATATTAGTAGCTAGTGTCATTGAGGTAGAAAGACCAGAAAAGGGTCTTCTATTCAGCAACATGTCACTTAAGTGCAGCTCAGACACAGCCCAACTCTTTTTTTTTGGGGGGGGGTGGGGGGTCCGGTCATGGGGCCTGAACTCTGGGCCTGGACGCTGTCCCTCAGCTCTTCAGCTCAAGGCTAGCGCTGTACCACTTGAGCCACAGCGCCACTTCTGGCTTTTTTCTTTTTGCTTATATGGTGCTGAGGAATCGAACCCAGGGCCTCAGGCATGCAAGGCAAGCGCTCTACCACTGAGCCACCTTCCCAGCCCCAGCCCAACTCTTTTCTAACACAAATATTGTTACAAATCTGATGGAAATAGAAACCAGCTAAAACTGTTTATGCACTGTAACCAAATAAGTTATTATTATGGACTAGTTGCTAGATCATGAAGACAGCTTTTGTGTAATCAAATTCCCTTAAAGAGGATTTTTATTTGTATTGGAATGCAGTCAAAAGACTACATAGCATGCTGGGCACTGGTGGCTCACGCCTGTAATCCTTGCTACTCAGGAGGCTGAGATCTGAGGATCACGGTTCAAAGCCAGTTCTGGCAGGAAAGTCCATGAGACTCTTATCTCCAATAAACCACTAGAAAACCGGAAGTGGCACTGTGGCTCAAGTGGTAGAGCACTCGCCTTGAGCTGAAGAGCCCAGGCCCAGAGTTCAAGCCCCACAACCGACCCCCCCCCCAAAAAAAGACTACATAGCAAAATAGTTAAATTCTGAATCTGAGCTGATGGCTGTTTTAGTCAGGATATTGGATTATTTTTGGCTGTAAATATTAACCATCTGAACTCTAGAATGAATATGTGGGTAAGATTCAGTTCCTTGAAACTGTACAAAAATGGTATCTTTTCTCAAAGGAAGTATGAATAGTTTCAATTGTTAAGCACTGAATGTCTTCAATAAATAGAGAATAATAACAAGTGTTTTGACAAGAGATAGTTTCACATGAGCCAAGCTGAAAGAACACTTACGAAGCTAGAAGAATAGCTGCTGTTCCAACAAGCTGCAATTTCCCTCTCAGAACAGACATGCAGGAGAGAAACCTGTCCAGGAAGTTGACAGCCAGGTACAGAGTCTCTGCCCGAAGCTTATATTCTTCACCAACCTCCACCAGCCAATCCACCAGAATAGTACGCATGCCTTCAGTAATGTCAGGCTGTTTTCTCATGTAGTGTGCTTTGGGTCTGTATCTGACCTGTTCAGAAAAGAGGTGGATCTTTAAACACTTTTAGTGTTGTTGCTATTGTTTTTTTTAAAATCTCTGTTGGGCACTGGTGGCTCACACCTATAATCAGGGGGATATGATCCAAGCTTAAATACAAAACTATAAAATTTATGGGCTGGGAAGGTGGCTCGCTTGCCTTGCATGCCTGAGGCCCTGGGTTCGATTCTTAAGCATCACATAAGCAAAAAGAAAAAAGCCGAAGTGATGCTGTGGCTCAAGGCGTCAGCCTTGAGCTGAAGAGCTGAGAGACAGCGTCCAGGCCCAGAGTTTAGGCCCCACGACCAGACCCAAAAAAAACCAAAAAACAAAAAACCCCACCAAAATTATAAAATTTACATATAACCTAGAGGTACTTTTATGAAACATTTTAATAATTCTGTGCATAAAACAGAAGTTTTACCATGTGGAATTTTCCATGTATGTCATCATGCATCAGTATTCATGAGTTTCAGATTTTGAAACAATTCAAAACTGGGATTGTCAGATTAGGGATGCTCAGCCTATATTATTTTTCACAGATTTCTTATGTTTAGATGGCATAATGATACCACTCACTGGTGATTACGGCCAAGAACTTACAACTTAATATGTACTAGAAGTTGAGAAAACTCACTTCAGCTTCTCTAAGGTACTGATGGATTTCTTCAGCATACTCAGTCACATTTATGACATCTGAGCCAAAATCTGATGCTTCTTCAGTCTGAGAATGGACAGATGGATCTACCAGCATAGGAGAAACTGCAGAGGTTCAACATTGTCAGATAAATTCATTTAACAACTGGCACAAGTACTCACCCATCACAGGTTATTATGAAAACAGTCATCACTTCCAGTTTTCTTTTGCTAGTTACTTGACACTGAAACAGTGCAGATGGTTATGAATACAGGGCACCATTAGCCATACATGTGTCAGATTACCTGTGTTGAAATCCAAAAGGAAGTGAAGATCTGACTTGAGTGTACTGGTGTCTACTTCATACACATTCTCAAATGCTATGCCCTCTCTCCCGGGGCAGCTGTTTCTGTCCCCCTGCTCAGGATCATCCATGTAAATATCAAACCCATGCTTGGCTGGTTCGTGGACCCCACAGTCAGTCAGCACACTCTTTCCAGCTGGAGGAAAGACATTTTCTGATCCAGCAAAACACCTGATTGTTGTGATCTCCTTTAAAAAAAAAAAAAGGTTCATCTCATTGGAGATTACCCTCCCCCTCCCAAAGACATATAGTAATTACAACTAGCAGCTTAGGAACAAGACTGATGTGGATGGAGGGGGTGAGAGAGTGTCAGTGCTAGGGCTTGAACTCAGGTCCTTAGTGCTGTCCCTTAACTTTTTTTTTTTTTTTTTTTGGGGGTCCGGTCGTGGGACCTGAACTCTGGGCCTGGGCATTGTCCCTCAGCTCTTCAGCTCAAGGCTAGCACTCTACCACTTGAGCCACAGTGCCACTTCCGGCTTTTTTCTTTTTGCTTATGTGGTGCTGAGGAATCGAACCCAGGGCTTTGAGCATGCAAGGCAAGCGCTCTACCACTGAGCCACTTTCCCAGCCCCTGTCCCTTAACTTTTTCTACTCAAGGCTAGAGCTGTGAACAGCTCTAGTTCCAGGTTTCTGGTGTTTAATTGGAGATAAGACTCTCATGGACTTTCCTGCCTAGGTTGGCTTTGAACTATAATCCTCAGATCTCAGCTTTCTAAGTAGCTAGGATGATAGATGCCTGGCAAGATTGACTGCTGAATAGAAGTATCTGCACTGACTGTCTAATTCTAGAGACTAAGGCTTCAAAAATATATAGTTTTGTCTGATATAGGGAAAGACAGTTATCTAAAATTTATTGTTTTCTTTACATATGGATTAAGGGGAACTCAAGATCATAAGATTGTACAATGAAGAAATGCTACAACCACTTCCAAAATGAAGTATCACAAATGGGAAGAAAATCACAAGTTGGATTTGGGCTTATAGCACTGCAAAATTTTACAAGTACTGAATCTAGGTCATGACATAATAGTCAACTTTTCTTTGCAGGCATCTATAAGATTACATTTTATGTCCTGTTTTTTAGAAACAGGATGAATTAGTAAACCCACATTATTAACTGTTCTTACAAACTAGCTAGAAGATCTTTTTGTATAAGACAATGCAATTATACTTGAAGAAATTTCTCAAATCACTTCATTTTTCTTTAGTCTTATAACATGAAGCCCGGGATCAACTGTAGTACCACAGTTGATAAACATTGTGCACTGGACACTGATAAATCATGTAGAATGTCAGGAAAGTCAGGGCATGCTTCAGGTACTGGACTAATATAAATGCTAGCCGTAGTATATCTTACTTATAATTAATTTTTGTAATATTGAAGGCTAATTCCAAGTTAGTATATGATTTTGCCATTTTCCTTTCTAGTTATCAAGTTAAATATATAGTTTATGTCCAAATAAGAAAAAAAATCTTAAACCAGGCCACCAGTGGCTCACACCTATACTCCTAGCTACTCAGGAGGCTGAGATCTGAGGACTGCGTTTGAAGCTAGCCTGGACATGAAAAGTCTGTGAGACTCTTATCTCTACCTAACCACTAAAAAGACAGAAGTAGAGTGGCACTATAAAGGACCACAGTCACAAGTTATTATAAACAGATCACCATGAATTTAAAGCACTGCCAGGCTTAACTTTTGGTATATATGTATAAGTCAAAATATTTCATTAATTAAGCAAATATTCACTGAGCATCTAGTACTAGACATAGTTCTAGCAGTGAATAAAATTTGCAGCTCAGAGATAAGGAGAAAAAGAAAGAGATGTATTAAGAACTGAGTACACCAAAAACAAAAAAAGGGCAGTACAGTTGCTTTTCAAGAAAAAGAGATCAGTTAATGAAGTACTTATTATAAGCCATTTAAATACTGGCTTTTATGTGGACAAAAGATCCATGGAGAGGCAGAAGAGTAAGGCAATATGATTTGTTTGGTTTTGTGGGTTGTTTTGTCTTTTGTTTTGGCGGGGGATGGGGGAGTGGGCGTTGTCAGCAGTGGGGCTTGAACTCAGGGCCTGTGCACTGTTCCTGGGCTTCTTTGTGCTCAAGGCTACCACTTGAGCCACAGCGGCACTTTCAGTTTTTTGAGTGGCTAATTAAAGATTAAGAGTCTCCTGGGGACTTCTCTGTCCAGGCTGGCTTCAAACCATGATCCTCAGATCTCAGTCTCCTGAGAATAGCTAGGACTACAGGCATGAGCCACCAGCATCTGGCTTCTGATTTGTTTTGAAGGATCTTTTGGGGGTACATGTATAGAGAAAGATCACAGTCAAATAAGTAGTCATGAAACTTACAAATTCCAGGCAATCTAACTCTAGAGAACACAGCTTCAAAAGTATGACTCCCCCCCCCATGTTTTTTGGCCTATATTTGATAATTTGGAAAGAGAGGTGCCTAAAATTTGTTTTTGAGCCAAATAGTACAAAACAGGGACAAGGGTAAAGAAAAAAAATCTCAGACATTTTACAAAGCAGAGCCAATAGCATTTTCCTAGTAAATGAGAGAAGGGAGGAAAAGTTGAATCAAGGGTGACAAACGGCACTGGGAATAGGAAAGACAGACATTCTATTTATTGCCTGGGGATAGGAAGGACAGACATTCTATTTATTGCCTGTATGCTATTAGAATACAAACTCTTTTTTTTTAAGGTTTGAGACTAGGATTGGACTCAGTACTTTTGGCTCATTGTCGAGCAACTGAGTCACGCCTCTAAACCATTGCTACAAATGGGACAGCCCAGCCTCTACAAAGAGCTCTGTTCTGAAAGATTTTGAAGATAGAAAAAAAAAATCAGATATGTATGCTTGTGGGTTCAATCCAGTAAAGAAACTAAAGGGAGGAAAAAGAACTATTGGAAAGGTATCTCTGGAGAGACACAAACACATGAAGCATAGTCTGGGGACTCACCTGGCATAGGTGAGGGTCAAAACACACCAGTCACAGAACAGGATGAGATGAGAGGGTATATAGCACATAGCAGCAGTGGAGGTTCTCTTCCAGTTGCTTCATAGTTTTAGGAAAATGGGATGCGAAGTCATTAGTTAGGAATAAGGATAGAGTTACAACAATGCTGTAACTCCTTTGAAGAATTAAGCTTACAAAATGAGTATCAGGAACACCTATTGGGGAAGGTCAACAAGAGGGAGGTCAACCAAAGGAGAGAAGAAGGGTTGGAAAATACAATCATAATAGTCAACCTGTGAAAATGGAGCCAAATAACATGATGAGATGGGTGGGGTTAGAAGGGACGAGGAAGAAAGATTGAAGAGGTAGCATTGGTAAGATGCATTGTACTCATAAACTAACATTGAATTGAAACTCCTTTGTACAATTATTTAAAGGTAATTTTTTTTTCTATTGGTCATGGGCCTTGAACTCTGGGCCTGGGCGCTGTCCCTCAGCTCTTCAGCTCAAGGCGAGCACTCTACCACTTGAACCACAGCTCCACTTCTGGTTTTCTGAGTGGTTTATTGGAGATAAGAGACTCCTGGACTTCCCTGCCTGGGCTGGCTTTGAACCATGATCCTCAGATCTCAGCCTTCTGAGTTGCTAAGATTACAGGCATGAGCCACTGACATGGGCAGAAGGTAGTTTTTTTTAACCCCGGCTCCCATGGTTCACACTTGTAATCTAACTGATACTCAGGAGGCTGAGATCTGAGGATCGAAGCTCAAAGCCAGCCTGGACAGGAAAGTCCATGAAACTAATCTCCAATTAACCATCAAAAAGCCTGAAGTGAGGGGGCTGGGAAGGTGGCTCAGTGGTAGAGCACTTACTTTGCATGCTCAAGGCCCTGGGTTCGATTCCTTAGCACCACATAAGCAAAAAGAAAAAAGCCGGAAGTGGCGCTGTGGCTCAAGTGGTAGAGCGCTAGCTTTGAGCTGAAGAGCTGAGGGACAGTGCCCAGGCCCAGAGTTCAGGCCCCATGACCAGACCCAAAAAAAAAAAAAAAAAAAAAAGCCTGAAGTGAAGCTGTGGCTTTATTTCTATGAAGAATGCTGGTCTTCAGTGAAAAAGCCGAGGACAGCACCCAGGCCCTGGGTTCAAGTTCCAATACCAGCACAAAATAACAACAATAATAAGTAAAACAATGAGGATAACAGTAAAGAGAGTTAGAAGGAGGTATAGAGGATTAATAAGAGAAGGTGAAGTAGGAAATAAGTTTCTAAAAGATTGTGGAGAAATGGAGCAGGCAAATGCAAAACCAGTGGCATCAGGCAACATCAGTGACTGAATTTAAAATAAGACTACTCACATAGGCACAACTCTCAACCTCAAAGTACCAGAACTTAGACTTTATTTTAAATAAATATTGCTGTTAACTTTACTAAAACTACTTTCATTTAATTTTCTCCAAAGCTTTGAATAGATCATGTTGTGTATTTTCTAGGTCTCAACAAAAGGCAGATGACTCAAGGAGGCAGTAATCTAGTCTTCACCATAGCATTCGGGAGTAGAAAGAAGATTTGTGTTTAAAAGTCTCTCAAAACTTCTTTGCCCATAAATAATGAGAAAGATACTTGCATCACCAGACTCAGATTTGAAAGACAGGCTAAGACATCATTGAGGACCTGTCTAAAAACAAAAATCCATTCTTCAACAACCAATATCTCCTTTGCATTTAAATGTCCGGGTTTGTCACCTTCCAATGAAAGTTCCTATGATCAATTAAGAGCATACAACTACTTCACCTAGACCCATTACCAGTTTGCCCATTTGCTGTTAGTACTGGGGAGGGGTATGCTCTCAAAGCAACCTTTCTGAAGTAACCTAGGTAGCCCACCCCAATCCTGATTCTGGATGCGCATACCAAAGGGTATCTAGGAATGTTTCAGGCATGGCCTAGATTACCCTGAATACCACTGCGACCAGAAGGAAGGTTTATTTTGCACAGCCATTTTTCTTTTCAGCCTAGCCCTAAAATCATTTTACACATACTTAATCCAAACAGTTCCTAAACTCATTTCCTTGACATGGGGATGGGGGGGGGGGAGGAATAACAAAGAAAAGGAATGGCTATTTCTAGCTAAAAAATAACAAAAGGGACTGGTTCAAGTAATCCGAAGAGATCAACTTTCCTGGCTAGCCCTGGAGGCTCAGGCCTGTAATCCCAGGTACTTGCTGGCTAAGATCAGCGGATCAAAGCCAGCCCTGGGGCAGAGAAGTCTGACAGAAGCAAATCTCCAATTAATAAGCAAAAAGCGAGAAGTGGAGTTAAGGCTCAAGTCTGTGAGTTCAAGCCCCAGCAGCGGCCATGCACCAACTTCCCCAGACTCCGGGTTCTAAGCTTAGGGTTCTCAAGGGAAATTCTGGGACAACTCCAGGGGTAAAGCCCCTCCCTCGGATTAGGAAGGAGCTCCCCAATCCCCCCCCGCCCCCCCCATCCCGGGCGCTGCTCGCTCTCACTACCTGGCCACAGGTCCTCCTGTATTGGCCATTCTCAGTCAGCACTCCCAGCACGGTCCTCTGCGGGGGATCCTGACCCAGCTGCGCTCTGGTGAGCATCTGGCAAGCCTCCAGACCCCGGGTCACGGGGGGCAGGACGACTCCGCTCTTGGAGTTGCTGCGAAGCATTGCCTCAGACTCCGCTCGCTGCGGCCCTCAGGGGAGAGAGACAGACCGGCCCCGTGAGTCAGTCCCCCCCCCCGGCTCCCTGCAGCGGCGAGGGCTCAGAGGTAAACTGAGGCGCGCGAGTCACCAACGCGGTTCTGAACCCAAAACTCCGCACGTCTCCAGGGCTTTTCCCCCAAGACCTACTCGAGGGCTGGATCTTAAGAAGAGCAACCGGGCCAAACCTTCAAGACCTGGGTCTCAGCCTCAGGTGAGTTTACACGTAGGATCACCCCCCACACACACACCCTGTCCCCGTCCCCCCCCACCCCCTTAGGGTTTCCCCAGGTAAAAAGCCCCGATCCCATCGCCTCATGACACACACACACACACCCAAGATAGACAAGGGGGATTCTCCACCGTGGGAAAATGTCATCCCCTTCCTCAGTGACAGGCAGGCTGCTGCTGCCCCTCAGCCCTCCCCTCACCAGACACAAGACCCCCTTCCTCCCACCCCAAACCTGCTCCGACCCCACGAGGGGGGGGGCTCCCGCTCCTCTCGGCGTTATGCTCTCTGGACGTCTGGAACAGTCTCCGGGCGCAGACGGGG